CCAAGAACTCAACGAATGTTTCAAGAACATTAGGAAAATGTGGAAACATTTCAATGAAGTTTCGAAAGCTCCACAAATTCTGGAACTCCAGGAAAGTTCCATGAATATCAGAAAATTATCGGAAAAATTTAGAAGCGCCAAAATTTTCAGAGATGAAGAGAGAGCACATTTTTGAGTTCTCAAGCTTCAAGAGAGCTGCAAAAACTTTCAAGAAGGTTTGATAGTTTCAGGAAAGAACAGAGAATATCAAGGTAGTTCGATAAACGTTCTGGTCATTTATGGATGTGGCATTATTGCCTTGAGGGTGTCCGGTCAATAGGCCGAATGGTTTTTAACCAGGACCTAAATTAATTTTGACGAGCCTCCTTACACCGTTATTTAAAAAAAATAACACTAAGACTATTTGGACGTTCCAGAATCTAGAAAATTTCTTCATATCCGGATCATTTAAAACCAAAACTACCTGACTATTTAAGATTTTTCTTAGTTAAGGATCATTAAATTTTCTTAACCTGGAATCTCAAAATTTATAAATTTATTAATTGTTTTCCATATCCTGGATCCTGATTCTTTCTTTTTGTCCAGTATCTCTAAAATAAATTGTATGTTGGAATCATCCTGATACCCACGGAAATCTTTACTAGATTTCAAGGTGATACTCTATGGAAGCCTTAGCGTGAAACTTTAAATGTCAGCTTCCACAAAACATACAAAATTGAAATTGCTACTCCTTGTTTTCTGAAGAATTTGCTTGAATCATCTCAGATTACCCTCAGAGTTTATATTAAGAGCAATTCCCTACAATCGGTTTGGTGTCTTGGACAATATTGCAGTTAATAGATGAGACTGTTTGAAAAAAAAAATAAACACTCTTAACAAATTTACCCCACTTTTTTTTTTTTCAAATAAAGTCTTAAAAACAAGTTTTCTCAAAAAAGGATTTTTTGTATTTTTTTTATTTGTTGATATGTTTTAGGGGACAAACATGCCATCAGGCCAAGATGGAGAAATGATGGACAAAAAGGTTCTGATTTAAAAAAAAACTCAAGTTTTTGGAAAAATATCATACTTTCTACTTTCAAACCACTACATCTCGAAAACGGTGTGACTAGCAAAATTTTACCCAGGTGCTTTTTTCTTGTATATTTGATGTACATTCATTATATAAAGTTGAAACAGTAATTTGACCAAGTTTTGGATATTTTTTTTCCAAAAACTTGAGTTTTAAAAGAAATCCGAACTTTTTTGTCCATTATTTCTCCAATTTTTCCCCTAAAACATATCAACAAATAAAAAATACAAAAAAATAATTTTTTGGGAATATTGTTTTTAAGATTTTATTTTAAATAAAAAAAAGTTGGGTAACTTTTTTTAAAGTGCGTATTTTTTTTTCAAACAGTCTCATCTATTACCTGCAATATTGCCAAAGACACCAAACCTATCGGGCAAACAGTTTTCGAGTAAAATTTTTCTGAAGATAAGCTTGATATTTTTTATAAGGATTGTTTCTGCAAATTTTCAACCATATCAAAAAATACAAAAATAAACCGATTTGTGAATTCGTAGGGAATTGCTCTCAGACCTTTTTCTGGTATTGTATTACAATGAGCTCCACAATACTCTTTAAATCATCTGCGGAACACAGATTTGAAACTGCAATGCTCTTCAAATTGTTAATAATTTATGCAATATTACCTAAGAATTCCTTGGCGATTTCTCCGGAAAATTGCCTTGGAGTTTCGGAAATTCGTGAGAAACTTTCCTAGGAATAAATCATTTGAAATATTGCTCCCTATTCCCTTAGAGCTCTCATTTGAATTCTCTAAAAATTATCACCGGAACATGATTACAATTCTCTTGAAATTTATTTGGAATCAACTTCGGAATTCAATTCCATTGTAATTTTCCTCGTTATGCTCCTCAGTAAGAAATGCATTGGAATTATTCTTAGAATTGTCAGTGAATTCATTTCAGAGTGCCCCTAGAAGTTTACTCCTTCACTTGGAATTCTACTTGCTTTAAAAGTTTCCTAAGAATTCGCTTGCAGTGAAATAACAAATTCCATAGATTTCTCATTAACAATAATTTGGCATTCAAGTCAGAACTCTCCTGGAATTCTTTTCGGAGTTCCTTTGAAGTATTCCTTAAATTATTCTCAGATTTAATTGCAATCCTTATACCGAAGTTTTCTCTAAAAATTCCCATGGTATTATGCTCTAGATTCATTTTCTCCCTGAAATTTCTTGAAATTTTCTTCAGAATTCTTTGTGAATTCTTTTTTGAATTTCCATGGAGTCCTCTTGAGAGTTATTTAGGAATAAGCTTCAGAAATTCGTTACACAGTTTCTTTCGAATCCCATGCAGGGTTTACTTGGAATTCTATTCAAAACTTCCTTGGTATTCAGGTTTCACATAGCATTTGTAGTTTTCATTGCGTCCCCATTTGGACTTCACGCCAGCTCTCAACTTGGTGTGTTATTTGGTCACTTCCACTGTTGTTAATTGAGAGTTTTCTAAGCCTATACCATTATCGCATTAGTTTTATTGTGTGACAGGTACAATCATACCCTGGATAGTAAAAAAAAACGTTGCCGAAAAAAGCCCACTCCAAACAAATTAGTAAACGCCCACAGTGCACAGTGGCACAAAAGGCCAAATCCATGAACTTTTTTCATTGGCGCTTTTCACAGTGGTTTTTTCAATAGGGTGTCTTCAGAAGAGTTTTTATAAATGACAAGACCCATTTAATGAAGAAAAGTTTTAGTTCGGCACTTCACCACAGGTGGCACTGCTAAATCTATCTTTTTATTTTGACCAGATAGAGATATAAAGTCTTCAGCTAAGTTGTATATTGCTTCATAAATAAAAACTTTGTAGAAGACAAAATGTCTCTATTTGCTTGCGATAATGAAGTCCTTTATCCATCTCTTTGATAGCCTTTTTTTATCTCTGCGATGTGTTCCTTAAACCTTGTTTCCAAAGTCCTTTTCATCTGACATTTATTGAATCTTTTGCTGTCGGTTATATTGACGTGCTAAATCATAGAAAAAGTCGTCAAAGGTCCAATTTTAAGGGACAAAGGGACATGCCATTGGAGGGTGCTTTAATTTTAGTTTTAGTTTAGCTTTATTATAGAGACTTTCAGCACCTGGCTGGTTCGTCTCTTTGGGAAAAGAGGATGGGAGCTCCTGATGGAAGCCCCCTAGTTACAGAGTTTTGCAGGGTGGAGGTTGCAGTAGGGAGCCCTCCTAGTTTCAGAGTTGGGGGTTCCAGAAGGGTAACCCGTCTACAAAATCCATCTAATTACAGAGTTAAGTACGGAGTTGTATCTAGGACGTAGTCTTGGTTCGTTGCAGTGGTTCAGTAAATGGGTATTTTGTAGATGGTTGTATTGTAAGAGCAGGATTTATTGCGAATTTCAGGTGTCAGAATAAGAATTGTCCGTAGCGTCGTAGTTGGTAAAGGTTAGTTTTGATGGTAGATATAGTCAGATCGCCATGTACAGTCCGGCATCCTTTACGAAGTAAACTAATGTCGCTAACGTTGAAAGAGCATTGACCAGAGTGTCTCAGATATTGGTCGGGATTCCGTATAAGTCCCGGATGCCTTGAAAACAGGGGCAGTTGACAATGATATGCTCGACTGTCATCGTCGTACTGCAGGGTTCACATGTCTTCCTGAAAGACGATGCTCCACCCATATTGTGAGTGAAGCGTGTATGTCCGGATCGGAGGCGGAACAAGAGGCGGAGGCGTTGGTCTCGCTAGTTTGGACGTCGACCCATTTATTAATCACCCTATAACTATTCGGTTGAATGGTTCGCTTCTTTTGATCCACTTCTGGGACCGCAGATTTGGTTAAATTTTCGGCATCTGGACCGGGAACATTCTTTGTGGCCAACTGACCAAATCGGCCAGTGGCTGCATGGTGGTCAGTTTCGGTATTGCCTTGGATGCCGCAATGACCCGGGATCTTGACAAAGACAGTAATCTGGGGAGCCCACCTTTGAATACCTTGTATCCACGGATGTTTGGGTATAGGAGATTTCAAAGCGGCAAGGGCGCTTGCAGAATCGGATAGTAGCACAGTGGTTTATCGGCGGGTGTGATGGCAGCGTAAAATATTGAAAATATTGCACCGAAAAAACCGAGCATTGGTCAGGAAACCGGGAAAAGAAGAAAAAGTGCGATCAGCTATCCCAAAGCTGACCCTACACGCAGCCTTGGAGCCGTCAGTGCAGCGGTGGTGAAAATTGTGATATTTGTTTCCCATCATTTCCGCGACGTAAGCGTGCATATCACAAGAGTTGTTACTTGCCTAGAATCTTATACTAATCGAGCAGTCGACTCTATTTCCCTCGTTAAGGAGAAAGACCTAAAAATTTCTGGAAGTCTTTTCTTCTATCTATTAAAACTACAATCCATGTCATTTGAAACTGTTACTATGTATAAATTCAAATTTCTAATGTATTAACTCTAACATTCCGGCCACCTTGAAATATGGAAAATATGGAATATTTCAACTGATCTTTAATCTACTTATTTACAAAAAAAAAACATCCCTTTTCCCTTTCACTGCAAGAATTTCGGCTGCGCATGATTCTCCATTTGCACGCTTAACCACGGGTTCACGGGTTGATCCAGTGGTAGATGTGGGATGATTAATCCTCGACGGAGACCGGGAACAAGAGAAGGAACAGGTAGATCTTACGAGGCAAGTGTAATTTATTGGACCTACAATTACCTGTGCAATGTGCAGGTGCGCATCGAGCAAATTTTCCCGGAATGGGTTGCTCTACCTGTTCACAAGGTTGATGATGATTTCATCGACGGAAGTAACGCGATTCGTGCTACGGGGCGCACGACTTCTTTAGCTGATGCTGTTCGAAGAGTCACCACTCGTACAACACCATCCTTTCCAGGATGAAGCCTGATAATTTTCCCCAAAGGCCAATTTGTTGGTGGAACATTGTCTTCCTTTATTATGACAATGGCACCAACTTCGATGATGACTGGCGGATTGCAACCCTTAGTTGCACGAGATTGTAGCTGTTGTAGATACTCCGGGTACCAGCGCGACCAGATCACCTGCAGCCGTTTCTGGGTCAATTCCCAATGGTCCAAGCGATTATCAGCAGTATCCTTCCAGTTCGGTTCAGGAACCGCTTGTAGGCTGCTTCCAACAAGGAAGTGTCCTGGCGTTAGGACTTCTAGGTCAGATGGGTCCTCGGGTATCGGCGTAAGCGGACGAGAGTTGAGGCACATCTCGACTTGTGCTAACAATGTCAACAGGTCCTCGTAGGCTAAGTTGACGTTACCAACGGTCTTCAGCAGATGCGTTTTCGCAGATTTGACAGCGGCTTCCCAGAGGCCTCCAAAGTGTGGAGCTCGGGGTGGAATAAACTTCCAGACGATTTCATTTTCGGAGCACCAATCGAAGATTTGCGCACGGTCAGCAGCTTCAATCTTTAGCATTCGGTAAATCCTATTCAAGGCATGCGAAGCACCTTTGAAGGCAGTAGCATTGTCAGAATGGAGCTCGACGACTTTTCCTCGGCGGGCGACTAGACGACGTAGTGCAGCTAGGAACGCAGGAGTTGACAAATCGCTCACTAACTCGATGTGAACAGCTTTGGTTGAGAAGCAAACGAATATGGCCACGTAGATTTTTGTAGGACCACGCTTTCGAACTGCTGACTTGATGTAGAACGGTCCACAGTAGTCGATAGCGCACACGGAAAACGGACGCGTCGGCGAAACTCGCGATACCGGCAGATCGGCTGTGCTCTGCTGGACTAGAGTTGGCTTGCTTCTAAAACAAGTGTGGCATTGGTGGAAGACGGATTTTATGAGGTTTCTGCCGCCCAGAATCCAAAACTTCTGGCGGAGAGTGGCTAGCAGGAGTTGTGGACCTGCATGCAGTAGCTTTTGGTGGTAACTGCTAGCCAACAGAGCAGACAGCGGATGTTTAGCGGACAGAACGATCGGGTGTTTGATTGCGTCGGATAACGCGGCGTTACGGATACGACCACCGACGCGGATGATACCGTTTTGGTCTACGAACGGGTTCAGCCATTTGAGTGAAGATGACTTAATGACGCGTTCGCCATTTGCAAGATCGGAGAGCTCCTCAGCGAAAGCCTTGCGTTGTGATAAACGGCACAGTAGCTGTTCGGCGTGTTGAAGCTCGGTGGTGGTAACTCGTGAAACGGATGCGGCTTTATCTCCTTGAAGTACTACTAGTTCAGCGAAACTGGGATCGGATTTGCGCAGGAGAGAACGATCTTTCAGGCACTGTAAGTAGCGTTCGCAGAATGCCAAGACTCGGCGTAGTTTGCTGTAGCTGGAGTACCGTGCGAACAAATCCTCACAGAGAGTTGCTTGTGCAGCAGTCATTGCAACAATCGGAATTTTGCGCCCTTCTTCGGACGCTGCGGGGGAGTACTCCTGATCGATGATGGTCCTGGGCCAGTGATCGCGAGTTTGCGACAACCATGGTGGGCCATGCCACCACCGATAACGGTGCAGAATATCCGTTGGATTTAGGCCACGAGAAATATCGTCCGCAGGATTATCTAAGCCTGCGATGTGTCTCCAGTGATTGATATCCGTGGTGGTCTGGATCTTAGACACGCGATTGGCGACGAATGTCTTCCAGCGATTTGGAGATGCACGCAACCACTGAAGCACGGTACTGGAATCCGACCAAAAGAATGCCGTTGCTGAAACCTTCAAGGTCGCTTCTACTTTCTTGTAAAGTTGAGTAGCTAGATGAGCGGCACAGAGCTCAAGTCTAGCGATGGAATGATGTGTAGACAACGGGGCGACCTTAGACTTAGATGTCAAAAGGTGTACAAATACTCCTACCATTGATTCCGTGCGAACGTAGCAGCACGTACCGTATGCAATGGAGGATGCATCGGCGAAGAAATGCAGCTGGATATTGTTGACTCCGGAAGCCAACACCAATCGAGGAATACGGATATCAGCAAGAATGTGGAGGGTGGAGTGAAACTGCTTCCAATCGGCTTGAAGTTTCTCTGGTAGTGGAGAATCCCATTCACAGGAAACACCATTGCGCTTCAACGTCCACAAATGTTGCATGAAGAGCTTTGCCTTGGTTGTCGTTGGACCCAATAATCCCAGTGGGTCGAATATTTGAGCTATATACGACATCACTTTCCGCTTTGTAAGGATGGCAGCAGGAAGAGGTAATTCAACCTTGAACCGTAGCATATCGGCGGTTGGCTCCCAAAGTAGACCAAGTGTGGAGATTGTCTGCTCATCCTGTAGATCATGGATAGGCTGAATTGCAAGATCCTCTGGTGGGACACCCTCTAGCACTTCATGGGCATTCGACGCCCACTTCTTCAGCATGAACCCAGCAGAACTAAGCATGGCAGTGATTTCTCGGCGGAGAATAATCGCAGCTTCCACATCCGATGCTCCAGACAAAAGATCGTCGACGTAGAAATCTTCAACAACCGAGTTGACTGCAGCGGGATACAAATGCTCATGATCCTTCGCGATCTGCTGAAGTGTCTTCGTTGCCAAATAAGGAGCGCTTGCTGTTCCGTAGGTGACAGTTTGTAGTTCGTATGTGGCGATTGGATCGGTAGGACTTCTACGATATCGTATGCGGAGGAATACTAGGTCGATTCGATGATGCAGCACTTGTCGATACATCTTCTCGACATCTGCTACGATGGCGACAACTCTTGTCCGGAATCTCAAATAGATCGAGTAGAGATCTTGCTGAACAACAGGTCCAGCAAGCAGAGTGTCGTTCAAGGAATAGCCCGACGAAGTCTTGCATGACGCGTCGAAGACAACCCTGACCTTCGTGGTCGTACTGGATTCCTTGAAGACGACGTGATGTGGAATATAGCAGTGTTGAATGTGGTCATCTACAGGCTCTTCCACCTTCTTCATGTGTCCAAGTTGCAGATACTCCTCCATGAACCTATGATACGAGTCCTTGGTCGCAGGATCTCGCTCGAGTCGACGTTCCAAGCTCAGAAAGCGTCGATCTGCTATTGATCTCGATTCTCCGAGCATGATTTCGGGATCTTCAATCCGTGGGAGACGCACAACGTACCTTCCTGATGAATCGCGCGTAGTCGTTGCAGCGTACAGCTCCTCACAACGACTTTCTTCGGTAGACTGGACCGGATCCGATGGAATTGTTTCCATTTCCCAAAACCTTTGTAGAGTGGATTCCAGCCGTTCATCTACGGTGGAGAGATAGCAGAATCTTGGAATGCAGGTAGCCGTGCGAGCTGCGGGACCAGTAACCGCCCAACCAAATGGGGTTTCGACTACGCACGGAAGACCTTCACCTAGACAAATCTTCCTACCCGTGTGGAGTTCCCAATAAGTTTCACTGCCGATGACGAGGTCGACACTTCCGGGAATACTGAACTGAGGATCTGCTAGCCTTACATCCGGAATTTTCCATGCCGAAATGTCAATCGGCGTTGTTGGCAGCTCCGATGATGGCTGCTTCAATACCAAAAACTGCAATTTCATCGAGATCGTTCGATCTCCCGACTCGATGGTTGCGGTAATGGCAGTACTGACCTTCTGTGTGGATGATCCAATGCCTGCGACGGACACGTTGACTGTTGATCGGCGACTGTAGAGGTTCTTAGCTAGTGGTTTCGAAATGAAATTCGACATCGATGCTGAATCGAGGAGAGCTCGGGCCTTGTGCGTTTTACCGTAGTCGTCGATAATGTTAAGAACAACCGTTTCCAGCAATGTCATGGTGCATGCAGTTTGGACTGCCATGCTGACTTGGCGGGAGCCAGAAGGTTCCACGATTGGTGACGTGGGAGGAAGCGATTGTTGAACCGGGGAAGCTGATGGTACAGCAAGATTCGGTGACACGGTAGAACTTCGAGACTCAACTGAACTGGATAGAATGGCAGGCGTCGCTGATACCTTCATTGGTGCAGGATCGTGCAGGAGAGAATGATGTTTGTCGTGACAAGTTCGACAAGTGAATTTGGAACCACAAACATCATTCTCTCCTGCACGATCCTGCACCAATGAAGGTCATTACATTGGCGAAGAACAAGTGCGATAGTGCGACAAGGTTTCTACCACGTCGGGTAGACCTCAGATCTAAGTACTAATCGCATACCATGTTGAAAACACCGGTTCTCGTCCGATCACCGAAGTTAAGCAACATTGGGCGCGATTAGTACTTAGATCTGAGGTCTACCCGACGTGGTAGAAACCTTGTCGCACTATCGCACTTGTTCTTCGCCAATGTAATGGCAGCCCCTTTGACCCGCGTTTTCGGTCAGATTGGTCACTTTCACACACCACCGCGAGGTGCACTTCTCGGTCCGAATTGCCTTCGATCCGGCTCGAAGGACCAAATGATGACGATACTCGCCTTGCCGTACTCGAAGGTCTTTCTTCACTAGCCACGTGAACTAGCACCGAAAAATGCACTCTCTAGAAATGCTTCACTAACCACACAAAATTCTTCTAAGTCCCTTTTTACGGGAGGACTTTGTCGTTCAAACACACCGATTCAGTCATCGAAGGACCAAAGAAAAAATGAGACACCAAACCGGCCGTACTGTGCTCTTCAACGTGTATATTATTACTGGATTATTTACAAATTGTGCAGACCCCTTATCTACCTATCCAAATGTTGACCATCGGCAATCGTCGTTATAATACACTCTCCCTCTCTGTGCTCACAAATTCAATTAAAACTACAATCCATGTCATTTGAAACTGTTACTATGTATAAATTCAAATTTCTAATGTATTAACTCTAACAGGTAGCTGATAGCCCTAAAGCACAGCGTTTTCGCAACTTGATATTGTAAGAGTAGGGAGCCGAGCTCGATACAGGCTGATTCGGTGGGGGTGGATAGTAGAGGTCCAGCAACGATCCGAGTTGAAATGTTGTATGTGAAGGCTAGTCTTGTGTTGATCGAGTCGCAGGCCATGCAGAATAGCTCGATACCGTAAAATAGGCAGTTCACAGTGGCTTTAGCTTCTCTCCCGAGTAGCACACTTCCGTTAATAAAAGTTGCAGCAACTTGTTTATGACTAAAATAAATCGTAAAGAAGTTTCTACAACCGATATGTGACAAACGTGCTACTAGGGCTGTTACTGCACCGGTGTGGCTTGGAGACTGTTCTGAGGATGTTCAAGCGTGTTCTGCATTTGGTCTTGATATCGTTAAAATGATCACTAAATCTTAAGCACCGATCCAAACGTATTCCGAGGATCTAGATGGTATTTTTGAATGGGATCAGGACCCTTTTTGACGTAACGGTCTTTGGTAAAGTGGGACATAACACTCTCTTCAGCCGATAATGCGAAACCGACCCTGATGGCCCATCTAGTGGCAGCTGAAACTGCAACTTGGATGTTCCGATGCAATTATTTCAGGGTGCGGCCGAATGCCAGCAGCACAGTGTCGTCCGCATATTAAAATACGTTAACATCCTTGACTAGGGCCTCAAAGGTACCATTCACGGCAATCAGAAAAATAGTGACTGCTAGGTTGGTTCCTTCAAGTAACCATAGGCACGTTATTTCGCCTTTTTGGCTATACACAACTGAACAACGGCTATACCAGTGTTTGCAAGTTCTGGTGAGGACCGTATGTAGCCAAAAAGGCGAAGTAACGTGCCTATGGTTACTTGGGTGATCCCTTCCGTCCCGGTTGATGAGCGGAGATTACCGCTACCTTGAAAGGTTCTTTAGCGGAGAATTTTGTTTTAACAAAATGCAGTAGATGGCCACACAGACCCCAGTCAGTCAGTTGTTGGATGACTCGTGGGGTGGGTTTTTTAATTCCGTAAAGGGTATACATAGCGGGAACCGAATACTTCATCATTTCTCAATAGTAATGGAGTAATATGGTATGCACTAAACTAAGTACACGAGATATACCAAAATAAATCAAATTACTGGTTGCAAATTCCTGTAATGTCCCGAACTGAGGAAAAAAACATTCAGTCGCAGATCCAGATCCAGCTGTTTGGGCTTTCAATACAAATACTTACAAAAACGAGCAATAAGGAGCCTTGACACTTGACGCACCATATAGAATGAATCATGTCTAACTAAGTAGATTTAATTTACCTTTGATTTGTAATCGGCTCTCAAACGATTTTAAAGATATTTGGATAGTCTGGACATCTACCAACATTATTTGTAGCTAAACAGAGTTGATCGCCGACTTTACCTGCTACGAATTCCGGACAGATTTATTATTAAAAAGACCCTCAATAGCTAATTCTAAAATATGCTTTCTCACCACTCGAGGAGGAGAGTGCACTCCTCAAAACAATCCTAGCGAAAAAGAAAATTTCAGAAACGCATATCTAGCACACTGTCATCGTCATAGATTCTCAATTAAAATTCACCATGGATCATCACCTTTTCTGGCACACCTCATCCGAGTAAAAATAAAAAAAAAAGTAGGATGAGGAGGCTGAACCACGATCGCACAAAACAATGCGAATAAATTTGTCACTCATCATCGCCCCCAACATAGAGAAAACTGCCTGCGCCAAGCAAAGAATCATGATGAAACCCTTCATTTATCAGCCCTCCCCCCCTCCTCCTTGATCATAAAGATCAAACGTCTTACCCATCCCATGTTTGTCACTCTCGGAAGATTCACACACTCACATCATATTGCGCCCCAACCAACAACGGCTTCGGAAGATATCATCACCCTTTCTGGGATTGATTGTTTCAAGCCCTCATCGGAATGACATACGTGCGCGCCCAGGCAGACAATCACCAAGTCGTCGGTCGTAGGTACATACGTTATGCTTCAGACCACATTCCTATGGGCTCAACTTTACTACGATCGAGGTCTTACGTTTATTTATTTAAATTTCTTTCTTGCGACACGACCAATTCGACATCGCGCCGTCTGAAACTGATCCTGGCACCACCCCCCCCCCCCTGCCACTCCAAACGACACTGATATTATTATTAGTTCACTATTTGCATATAATTATGTTCGTCAACCTCCCCCAGCATGTTATGTAAGCCACACCGTGCTAATCGTCTGCTAGGAATTAATTGAAGCACCACAGTGCCGAGCGGAACCACCCCACAAATCACAGCCGGGGCCTGGTCCCTACACACAGCTTGGCTCACTCACCGAGGCTCCTTCGGCTGGCAGGGCGCATGTGCCACACGTTTCGCGACTAAATATTTCTCTAATGGCTCGAAACCCCCACACAATACGTGACTTTTAATCTTCTTGGTACCCATACTCGACGCCGAGTCGTCGTCGTCGTCGCATCCAGGCCGTGCGGATCGCTTTCCTGACACCATGCCAATGATCTTTTTTAACGTGTTCTATGAGTGTGTTTTGGTTTATAATAATTCAATTATTGTTATACAATGCGCGTTCGTCTATGTTCAGCTGAACCGAGTGCGGCAGAGGAGGTGTCGTTCGCAGTCGTTGTGTACCGAAAACAGACACAAATTTAAATTTAATTAAATTAGGAAAAACACAACGCCAGTCGTGGTGCAGTGCAAGTGGTGATTCCGACGAGGTTCGAGGAAGCAGAAATCTTTCTGCGGAATGATCCTCGGAGCGCGGGTGCGGGCCCGTGAATGGCTCACGTTCGCCGAGTTGAACACTATGGGTTTAATGTAAATGTACTGCAATAAATGTCATCATTTGTTAGTTGTCACTTTCATAAAACTTTATTACTATGACGGAATTGGCGTGGTTTCTTCGCTCATGATTTGCACATGTGTGGTAAGGTATGTGGGGATCATGCTAGCTAAGCACCATGCATGTCACCTACTGCTACTGCCAATTGCTTGGGATGAGAACTTGGCGAAGTGACGAACGATCCTGGTGACAGCTAGAGGTTGCGCACTAGGTGATGAAAGTGATCGTTCGTCATTGGCATGCTGAGGGAGATGATTAAAGTTCTTCAATTTCCATTTTGAATACGCCGAAATATCACAACCGTAGATTCCCCTGTGCATAGATCTACGTAATTATGTAAGCGAAATAATCCACATCCATATATATCCAGCTCCGGATTTCACTCAGTATTCAAGGGCACCTCTGCACACACGATTCCCCCGTAAATGAAGACAAACCCCCCAAAAAGTGAGCGATCTTCCGACGGCAACACCCACAACCGACCATCTCCGATCGTAACATCTCAATCGACGAAGCCAATCGGACCTCCAACCGTCCAGACCAAAAAGCGAATCTCCGAACGCCAGGATGATTCATGTGCGTCTATAAACGCGCTACCAAATTGAGAATTTCACAAATTCGCTATTTGTACCACACGACTCCGCACGATCTGCCGCCTCTGGAAACAGATGTCTCTATCGATTGAGCTCTTCACAAGTCCCATTCGGAGAATCTACCTAATTGACTCAACCTCACAGTTTTGTTTTTGCATTGTATTCAAAGCAATGCGTTCATCACCGGACCCTCCTTCCGTCCTCGAACCGCACCGACGGAGACGACGACAGCGACGCCACACTGCCTCAGCCGCTCAAATAAGGCATAATGATGCTCATTTAACGTATTAATTTATTAGCGAGCATACTTAATTCAATACAAATTATGCAAATACTCTCGAGCGAGACGAAAAACGCAGAAAACATCGCAACCTCACATCACACGTACCTCGACATAGGCTCGTATTGGTTTTCTCGAAATTCCATAAATGAACGCGGTTGAGGGCTGTAATTATGCCTCCTTGCGCTGAGTCGGAATGAGCACCAAGCGCAA